ACCCAGTTGCCTGAAAATCTACTCCTCTCCTGGAAAGAGTGGGAGAGAGAACTTCCAGATCTGCAATAGATAGCCCTGCCAAGGTGCTACACCAGCCCAGAGATGGACTCCCTGACTTCTGAGGGACAGCCACGTGTTCTGCGATGCCTCTGAGCGGGCTTACGGCTCTGTAGCCTATCTCAGAACTGAAAACCCCAGTGGCAACATCGAGATGGCCTTCCTCACAGCCAGGTTAAGAGTAGCCCCGACTAATTAACAGTCGATCCCTCATCTGGAATGGTATGCAGCACGGACTGGAGCGCAGCTAGCCAAGGTCCTGCAGACTGAGCTCACACTCCCTATCCCCCAAGTTATTATGTGGATGGACTCCACAACGGTCCACACATGGCTCCAATCAGATTCCTGCCGATTCAAGATCTTTGTTGGCACCCGAGTTGCGGAGATACAGGATCTCACTGACCGAGAGGCATGGCGCTATGTGGACTCAGCAAACAATCCAGCGGATGACATCATGCGTGGGAAGACCCTAGCAGAACTGGGACCCAGAAGTCGCTGGAACCAGGGCCCATCATTCCTGCATGGAACCCCAGACTAGTGGCCGGAGAAGCCACTTCCTGCCCCTATGGAAGAGAATGAGTTGAGGAAGCCTACATTCTGCGGTCTTACTGCTCAAGCGCCAGACACTGTTCTCCCAGAAGTTAGCCAGTTCAAGACCTTCGGCGAACTTCTGGAGGCAACTGCCCACTTACTCAACCAGGTGTCGGGGTGCAGCCCTTCAGCCAGTGATTACAAGAAAGCAGAGCTATCCCTCCACCAAAGTTACCCACCTTACAGCAGACAAGCCTGTGCCCACCAGTAGCCGCCTAGTCACTCTCGCCCCGGAGCAGGATCACATTACTCAGCTGATTCGAGTGGGAGGTCGCCTTCATCGCAGCACAGTTCTGGATCAAAAGGCCATGCACCCCATCGTGCTCGACCCCCAACATCCAATCACTAAGCTGATCATCGGAGACTTCGACGAGAGACTGCTTCACCCAGGGCCCGAACGAGTGTTCGCTGAAGTCCGGCGGAAATATTGGATAATCCGTGGCAGAGAGGCTATCCGGCTTCACCAGCGCAAGTGTGCGGAATGTCGGAAGTGGCGTGCGACTCCGGAGATTCCCAAGACGGCTGACCTTCCCCTGGCTCCGCCTACACAGACCCGCCTTCTACTCCACTGGCATGGAGTGTTTCGGCCCCTACATGTTCAAGATAGGCCGCTGCAATGAAAAAAGATGGGGCATCGTGTTCAAGTGTATGACCACCCGGGCAGTCTACCTTGACCTCCTCTCCAGTATTGACGCAGACTCCTTCATGATGGCGCTCAGACGCTTTATGGCCTGCCGAGGAAGGCCTTTCGAATTGCTGTCTGACCAAGGCACCAACTTCAAAGGAGGAGAATGGGAGCTGAAGGAAGCATTTTCGGCTCTCCAGCAAGACCTGCAAGCAAAGCTAGCCAGCCAGCAGATACAGTTTGCCTTCAATCCACCAAGCGCTCCCTACTTCGGTGGCTGTTGGGAGAGAGAGATCCGTTTCCTCAAGCAAGGCCTTCAAGCAACACTGGGAGCCCAATCTGTGAAAGAAGAGGTCCTGAGGACGGTCCTCATTGAGACAGAGGGGATCCTCAACACCAAGCCCTTAGGCTACACCTCCTCGGACATTGCAGACCCGGACCCGGTAACCCCAAATGCTCTCCTGATGGGGAGGCCAGACGCCTCACTTCCTCAAGTTGTCTACCCTGCATCAGAGCTGCTCAGCCGACGCAGATGGAGACACAGCCAGCTGCTAGCAGATCAGTTTTGGAAGCACTTTATCAGCCACTACCTGCCTGGCCTACAGGTCCGTCAGAAGTGGCAAGCAGAGACACCAGACCTTCAAGTCGGCACTACAGTCATGATTGTCGACCCAAAGCTACCCAGAGCACTGTGGCCTGCAGGACAGGTCTCTCAGGTGATGCCTGGACCCGACCGCAGGATCAGGACTGCAGAGCTGCGTATAGGTGACAGAACCTACGTGCACCCAGTGGCTCGGATTATCCCACTCCCTGCCCTGACAGATTAGAACTAGCCTCTAGAGATTGTGGCCCAGTAAGGCCTGTGGCCTGCAAAGACTGTGCCCTTTAGGTTAGAGGCCTTTTAGTGGATGCTAATATTTCCATTAGAAATATTGTGGCGGCTGTAAAAAAGGCCATCCTGCTCCCCTCCTCTCTACCTAAATTTCCCACAGTCCCTTCAGTTTCCCTTGAGTCCCGTTAGTTTGGCTGTTCAGCCTACCTTAGTTATCCCTCACCCATCATAGCCCTGTCATTCCCAACCAATCAGAGTGCTTGGAAAGGCGCATCTGGACACTGCATCCACCCTCTCAGGTTGTGTTATAGTTGTCCGAAGAAAGAAGACGCACATTTCTGAGGACCATTTTTATTGTGGACAGTAACAAGAATACCTGAATGTGGTGCGTGCATCGAAATGTAAGTTGCAGGGGGGTTTATTGGGTTTCTTTTTACATGTTGTTTAATAATGGGTAATTACTACAAATTCATATATTATTATTATTTAAAAATATATATATTTTACCCCCAATTTCGATCTTGTCTCATTGCTGCGACTCCGCAATGGGCTCGGGAGAGGTGAAGGTCGAGTCATGCGTCCTCCGAAACATGACCCGCCAAACCGCGCTTCTTAACATCCGCCTGCTTAACCCGGAAGCCAGCTGCACCAATGTGTCGGAGGAAACATTGTTCAACTGATGACCAAAGTCAGCCTGCAGGCCCGCCACAAGGAGTCGCTAGAGCGCGATGAGCCATGTAAAGCCCCCCCCAGCCAAACCCTCCCCTAACGACGCTGGGCCAATTGTACCTATGGGTTGTGACACAGCCTGGGATCGAACCTGGGTCTGTAGTGACGCCTCAAGCACTGCGATGCAGTGCCTTAGACCGCTGCGCCAGCTATTACTATTATTTAATGTTGGAGATGCCAATACTGCTTGGCATATTGTTTATAGTATGTAGCATTGTGCCGTTGCCATAGGTGTCATTGTTTTATTGGTAAACATAGTTTTCATATGAGTATGATACTGTAGCGCTTTCCATAGCGGCCTTCCTTAAAGTGGTTGTTGCTCTGCCATGGGCGAGCTTCTAGAATCCTCCCAGACGGGTCTTGGAGCTCTCGCATGCGCAGAGTAATTTATGACCCTGTGGCACTGGGGCAGATCAGATAAGACTTCAGCAAGGTAGGCTCTCGCACCAGGCGGGAGAGAGAGGCTGCCATAAATCTTTATCTTGTCAGTCTCAGTAATTGGTTTGTCTCTCTCTGACAAGAGGTTCATCTTTAGGTTAATGTTTATGCTGCTAGGTTAAAGTTTATAGCCATGTTTATAGCTGTGTTATAATAGTGTAATATTATGCTTATTCATTCATGTTTATATTGCATAATTATGACACTTTACTGATACTGTTATGTTGTGCATGTTTTTGCCTTAGAACCACAATTCATTCGGAGTAACTCAAGTACTATTCCACCAAGATTCACTCCCAGTCAATTCATGTTATATGACCTAAAGTGTGTGTGTGCTTAATGTGTGTTGGTGAAGAGGAAAAGGAAATAAAAACTCTGAAAAGAGAAGCATCAGCATTGTTCTTACAGAACATCCTGTGGAGGGTCAAAACCCAAATCACAGTCAGCATAATTATACTAGCGGGTGAGGGCATTCACAGCCGACCGCTCAGACGGGTGAGGGCATACCAGCCAACCGTTTTTATAGAAGCTGTAAATGACTTGGTAATAGGAAATACATTTATTCCATGAGAGAATTAAAAAGCAATTTTGGACTGACCAATGTAGATATTTTCAAATACATGCAACTCAAAAGTTTAAAATCAATACATTTTTTGAGGGAACCCTATTTTAGTCAGAAAAGGATATTCATATGATAAATAAGATTTACAAAACCTTGCAGAGAGCCTTTCCAACTGACAATCTCTTAGGAAAAATATAAACTACTGTAACCAAGACTTAAAAAGAACTGACATTGGCACAAGATAGAGGTCATGTTGGAACATAACTAACGAAATTACAGTTAACGAAAATGTACGTTTAATCCATTAAAAACTAATGTATAGAATTTATTACACAAGAGACAAAATTCACTAATTCATGTCTTAAGTGTAAAACTAACAATGACTCAATAATACAATCCTTCTGTTTCGTAATAAGATCTATGATGTTAATATTTGTGTAAACTTTTTAATCTGTGGGTGTCACTGAGCAGGCTGATACTCCATTTCATGGACCCAAGATCCATAGGTAAGGCTGCCCCCAATGCAATTCTAAAGTCTAACACATCCACAGTGCGATTTCAACAGATTTTTTTGTGTGTCAACTTAAGTCATTATTGTCTTTTGTTGCATTTATATAACAACATTCCAACATTGTTTAGAATTATCTAGTCCAAATGTGGCATGTTCCACTATTTTTATCCATTTGCGTCAGTTTTAATCGGGGACCTTTACTTTGAAGGCGAACGGTCGATTCCACTAGTGTTGCTCACGACACACACGTGGTTTGACGTCAGGCAAGGCGGGATGGTAGGCTGTCGAACGCTCAGAAAATTATACTACAAGAGCTGTCTCTCGAATTCCCGATTATTGTTATGATTCAAGTCGAGACCTTATCGCTGGATTTGCTGTCTAATTTTCATGCAGCTAGCTGTCATTTTCTCCTTCACCGATGTCGAGCAATGGAGAAGCGCCCATCTGCAATTGCTGATGACCTTCTCCTCTGCACACCGAAGCATATTTCTTGGAAACTGCGATGCGGGGAGCGTTCTGACTTGTAACGTATCGTCAATTGAATTGACATTTATTTCACGAGAAGTGAAGTGCCTACAATCTATTCTACCAAAAACATTTTTTAAATAGTCAAGACAGAGGCAGATGCCCCTCGTTCTGTCACCCCGGCTACACTATGGTGGAATTCCCATCTCTCATTCCTTATTGGCCTCTCATCCGCTTTCTGGTGCCTTTGGCTATTACCAATGTAGCCATCGACCTCGGCGAACAGGTAGGTTTGCGGCATCAAATTGAAATGATACAGCGTAATTTGCGTAGGATATGTGTCTGTAGCCAGCATTGTGGTTGAGGCAAGGGGATGAACGTCAAGCAGCTAACTAGCTATCTGGCACTGTCAAAACACTGTCGTGCTAACTAACGCTTGCTTGATTTGACTGCTATGTTGACTTGAGCTAAGCTTTCAACATGGTACAGAATGTTTTTATCTTTCCACCAGAGCACCACTAGTACTAGTAGTAGTGGCCCACAATTACAGAATTTGATCGTTCTTAAGCCTAGAGATTCCAAAACAGACGCGTGCATAGATGTATGTGTATACAAATGAGTGCGACTAGTTATTGTCATGTTAGTAAACAGTAAACCCATTCTGCAGAGGGTGCTACAGACAAATTAGCTAGCTAGCAGCTGATGTAACCCATATTTAGACGATGGCTGCTCTTCTGTGTTTATTCCAGTGGAGGCTCCTCGGAGGAAGGGGAGGACCATCTTCCTCAGTGAATTTCATAAAAATAAAAACCTTTTTAGATAAAACTATACTAAATATGTCACCAAATAATGCATTAAAACACACTGTTTTGCAATGAAGGTCTACAGTAGCCTCAGCAGCATTCTGTAGGGTAGCACCATTGTGTAGCCAAAGGACAGCTAGCTTCTGTCCTCTGGGTACATTGACTTCAATACAAAACCTTAGAGGCTCATGGTTCTCACCCCTTTCCATAGACTTACACAGTAATTATGACAACTTCCGTAGGATGTCCTCCAACCTATCAGAGCTCTTGCAGAATTAACTAACATGTTGTCCACCCAATCAAAGGATCAGAGAATGAATCTAGTACTGAAAGCATAAGCTACAGCTAGCTAGCACTGCAGTGCATAAAATGTGGTGAGTAGTTGACTCAGAGAGAGAAAGACAATAGTTGAACAGTTTTGAACAAATTAATTTATTCCAAAATTAAGGAGAAGAGCGAGAGAGAGAGTTAGCTATATTTTGTAGTATATATTTTTTCACTTTTACTTTCTTAGCTAGCGTCAAATGCAGCTAGCTAGTTTAGTCTACTCAAACAGAGAGGGATACTATGTCAGCTAGCTGGCTATGACTATCCAACACTGGAACTCTTCCAAGTCAAGGTAAGCTTTTGGTTTATTAATTTATTGCTGCTGGTGTATCTGCTAAACTGCTTGCTGCAGACTACACTGTACTGCATGATTGTAGTAGGTTTACTAGCATTGTAGTTCTAGTAGCTATGGTGATTGACTATGATGTGACAACGATGTAGGCTGTGTGTAGCAGTTAGCAGTCATGATATGAAGGTTTGGCTTGGAAAGGTTTTTTCGCCTGGTCACAGACAGCTGATGTGTTGTGCACTGAAGTCCACAAGCTAAGGGAAAAGGTGACAGGAGGAGAGCTCGTACATAGTTGCGAGAAGGAATTACAGTGTATATATATATATATATATATATATATATATATATAAATAAATAAATAAAACAAGCTGTTTGTATGTGGCTGCTATGAAAGTGAACTGTGGTTGAGTGTGATCAGGGGTGTATTCATTCCGCCGATTCTGTTGAAAAACTTTTCTTAAAACGGAAACAAACGGAACGAAACGGGGATAAACATACCTGAATCTGTCCAATAGAAACTCGTTTGTAACTGTTGGACTAATGATTACACCCTAGATCAGCTAGATGCATGCAAGTGTGTTCAAGGTGGTATTGAATGTGTCACTGTCTGTCACCTTTGGTGTGTTCGTAAATTCAATCTGGACTGCCAGAGTGCGCTCATAGTGAGCTCTGGGCGTTCGTAATTTCATAGCGTTGTCAGATGGTCCGTTTCTAAATTCAGAGTGTGTCCCTTTCGGAGCATTCAGTAGGGTTGATCCGAGCGTTCTGACATCACAACGGCAGTCAAGCACCCAAGCTAACTGGCTAAAGTTGCCTAGCTACTTCCAGACACAAATGAGAGAACACCTCACTCTGACCATTTTACTCGCCCTAGCAGAGCTGGTTAGGCTGTTGTCATGTTATCTAGAGCATTAGTGACCGTAACTGTGTTGCTGGCAATAATTTAATTATGTTATTTTGTCAACATTTACTGACACTGGCCATATTCAACAGGTCTTGCGCGTTCATAAATTCATCAGTTATTTTGCTCTCTGGCACACAGACGAGTGCTCTGAAATCGGAGGAAGATAGCCAGAGTAAATTTACGAACGCACCTCTTGATTACTCACATTTTTCTCTCAAACTGTGCACCTACATTGTAAACTTTCTTTAATAGGCTAGGTTGTAGCAACCTCTTGATGGGTATAGGGAACATTCTAGTATCATGTAGTAGCCTAAACCTATCAATGTTACATTGAGCTGGGTGAATGAAATATGAATGACAGTCATCCAATATGCTGTAATAGAAATAAGGCCATGCTGATAAAAAACATCCTCCCTCATCTTAAATGTCACCGACCGCCACTGGTTTATAGGATGTAGGCTAGCCTTCAATGGTGGTTAGGAGGGATTGGGCTATATATGCATCAGTGATCTCTAGAGCAGTGAATGTAAACTAAAAGCCCTTGAATTGTAATAGGGATCTAGGGCAGTGATCAAAGCGAGGTCCACTAGCTATAACTGGGAAATAAGAGTAGATTTTGGTTTAATAAATGGTGTCACTGATTGTGGTCCTCTGTAGCTCAGCTGGTAGAGCACGGCACTTGTAACGCCAAGGTAGTGGGTTCGATCCCCGGGACCACCCATACACAAAAATGTATGCACGCATGACTGTAAGTCGCTTTGGATAAAAGCGTCTGCTAAATGGCATATTATATTATATTATTATATTATATATTATTATATATTATTTATATTATATTTAATCATTAGTAGATGTACTGATACTTTGTGGCTTGTGAAAATGCCATAATGCATGCAGAACTAAAGCACAGTTCAGTGGAGATGTTATGAATGTCATTCCCCTGCCATAGCCCCATACCAGTGACCCACAGCTCCCATTCAGGCCCAGTCATATGACAGCTGACAGGCCTAGCATCCTAGCTGGTATTCTTGCCTTGTGGACAGTGGGAGTCCAAGCGGCACAGTGTGTCTCGGAAGAGGTTAGGATTATGCTTATGTAATGGCCACGTGAGAAGATATAAATAGCACCCGGCTCCCTTCTATGGAAAGAGGCAGCTGTGGATGCTCTCTGGAGGCAAAGCTAAATGGAAGTCTTATTTAGCTGAATGACTAGTTGTGGTTCAGGATCACGACAGGGTGTAACGGAGAACAGTGTTTTTGCATCCTGGCTGCCCTAGCCGATCATATTTCCAAACATCCATTATGTTAAAGGTCCAATGCAGTAGTTTTATCTCAATATCAAATCATTTCTGAGTAACAATTAAGTACTTTACTGTGATTGTTTTCAATTAAAATGTTCAACAACAAAAAAAACTTAGCAAAGAGCAATTTCTCAAGCAATAATTTTGCTAGGACTGTCTGGGAGTGGTCTGAGTAGGAAGGGGAAAACTGAAAATTAGCTGTTATTGGCAGAGAAGTTTGGAACTGTCTTTCTTATTTTCCTATTAACTAATTTACCGCATGGTGATGTCACCATAGAAGGCCAAAACTCCATCTCACCAAAACACGATAAAAGTTCAGGCAGCCTTTTCAAACAGCTCTTAGACTAAAAGGGCATTATTATCATTTTCACAATTTCACAGTATTATTCCAACCTCCTATTGTGGAAATATTTATAAAACTCAGGAAAATCACATTTTGGACTGCACTGGGCCTTTAAGGGCAATTCCACGGCTGAGACTCAGATTTTTCACTTTGTGGACAAACAAAAACCATTGATTTCAAACTTTAACAAATCATACAACTCTATGCACAAGGACTACTTTGAACAATTTACACAGAACATTTCACAAAAACACATTTACTGGAAGAACTGTGCAGATGCAAAGTTTGATAACAGAATTACGGTAACATAATTACATCATGGGTCCCTGATCTGTACTACACAGAAATGCATAATTATGGATATGAAAGTCATTCTCTTCATGGAGATGTATCCTGTTTAGGTACACTAAGGTAGAAATATGCAATATCCTCCTTTGCATATATGAGTGTTATTCTACATACTGGCTATTATTCTAATGAGCTCCGACCGCAAACAAGACCAAATGTGGTTGGTCCAGACCAGACCAAATCTGAACCAATCAGGGACGTCTATGTTTCACAAGTGTGCCATATGATATTTTGGCCATATCGCCCAGCCCTAGCTTAGACCCTTTTTTACATAATCTAAGGAGTTTGTGTTATGCCCGCCATCGGCTGAGACACAGCATGCTCTTAAATATAGGGTGGGTGTCATGTTTTAGCTGATAAATGTACAAAAATGGGAATAACATTGACATGTCAACTTTCAAAATGGTACCACAAAGAGATCCACGCATCAGAGAATGTTGACTTGAATGGGAATATCAGTTGTTTTAAATTACTGTCAATCTTCCATAGGAAACCTATTGAAATCAGAAGAAATATACAGAACAGAACAGACATTCCCATTTAAGTTGACATTCGATGGTGGGTGGACCGGTGGCCATCTTTGTGGTAGTTATTGGAAGTTAACATTTCAATTTCAATGGTGTACAAGCTAAATTGCAGTGGTCTGAAGGGATAGGTCCATTCTATTTATATGATTGAAATTATACCCACCCTGTATTCAAGAGTATGCTGTGTCTCAACCGATGGCGGGCACAACACTTACACATCAGATGATGTAAATTAGGGAGTTTACGTGTTTTTAGATAATTGACGTTAAAGGTTAAAAATGACTATTTTTATTTACAAAAATGTTTACAAGAAATTATTAAATAGTTTGACAACCTTGTTTGTAAGCGTTTAAATTACAGTGGGGGAAAAAAAGTATTTAGTCAGCCACCAATTGTGCAAGTTCTCCCACTTAAAAAGATGAGGCCTGTAATTTTCATCATAGGTACACGTCAACTATGACAGACAAAATGAGAAAAAAAAATCCAGAATATCACATTGTAGGATTTTTAATGAATTTATTTGCAAATTATGGTGGAAAATAAGTATTTGGTCACCTACAAACAAGCAAGATTTCTGGCTCTCACAGACCTGTAACTTCTTCTTTAAGAGGCTCCTCTGTCCTCCACTCGTTACCTGTATTAATGGCACCTGTTTTAACTTGTTATCAGTATAAAAGACACCTGTCCACAACCTCAAACAGTCACACTCCAAACTCCACTATGGCCAAGACCAAAGAGCTGTCAAAGGACACCAGAAACAAAATTGTAGACCTGCACCAGGCTGGGAAGACTGAATCTGCAATATGTAAGCAGCTTGGTTTGAAGAAATCAACTGTGGGAGCAATTATTAGGAAATGGAAGACATACAAGACCACTAATAATCTCCCTCGATCTGGGGCTCCACGCAAGATCTCACCCCGTGGGGTCAAAATGATCACAAGAACGGTGAGCAAAAATCCCAGAACCACACGGGGGGACCTAGTGAATGACCTGCAGGGAGCTGGGACCAAAGTAACAAAGCCTACCATCAGTAACACACTACGCCGCCAGGGACTCAAATCCTGCAGTGCCAGACGTGTCCCCCTGCTTAAGCCAGTACATGTCCAGGCCCGTCTGAAGTTTGCTAGAGTGCATTTGGATGATCCAGAAGAGGATTGGGAGAATGTCATATGGTCAGATGAAACCAAAATATAACTTTTTGGTAAAAACTCAACTCGTCGTGTTTGGAGGACAAAGAATGCTGAGTTGCATCCAAAGAACACCATACCTACTGTGAAGCATGGGGGTGGAAACATCATGCTTTGGGGCTGTTTTTCTGCAAAGGGACCCAGGACGACTGATCCGTGTAAAGGAAAGAATGAATGGGGCCATGTATCGTGAGATTTTGAGTGAAAACCTCCTTCCATCAGCAAGGGCATTGAAGATGAAATGTGGCCGGGTCTTTCAGCATGACAATGATCCAAAACACACTGCCCGGGCAACGAAGGAGTGGCTTCGTAAGAAGCATTTCAAGGTCCTGGAGTGGCCTAGCCAGTCTCCAGATCTCAACCCCATAGAACATCTTTGGAGGGAGTTGAAAGTCCGTGTTGCCCAGCGACAGCCCCAAAACATCACTGCTCTAGAGGAGATCTGCATGGAGGAATGGGCCAAAATACCAGCAACAGTGTGTGAAAACCTTGTGAAGACTTACAGAAAACATTTGACCTGTGTCATTTTCAACAAAGGGTATATAACAAAGTATTGAGAAACTTTTGTTATTGACCAAATACTTATTTTCCACCATAATTTGCAAATAAATTCATAAAAAATCCTACAATGTGATTTTCTGGATTTTATTTTCTCAATTTGTCTGTCATAGTTGACGTGTACCTATGATGAAAATTACAGGCCTCTCTCATCTTTTTAAGTGGGAGAACTTGCACAATTGGTGGCTGACTAAATACTTTTTTCCCCCACTGTATGTCAAAATCAACCGTTCATCTTTTCCAGTGATTAAGACATGGATGTCTCATGGTATAGTGGGGTATGCAAAATGGGTGAACTTTGAGCACCCTGTCCAAAACGTCACTTTCTGACCACTTCTACCAGCAAGAAAAGTTTTGTTCAAATCAAAGGGGTGCAGTCAAAATAGTTATTGAAATCAAATGGAATAACACAAAACAGTTATGAGCTTAACATGACAGTAGTAGGTAACCCAACTGTGGTTTGTGACTACTATGATTTCCCATTACAGTGATCCCTCGCCACTTCGCGGTTCACTTATCGCGGATTCGCTATTTCGCGGATTTTCATAATGCATTTTTTTTTTTTGGTGCATTGTGCTCTGCATTCTGATTCGCTAAAAACTCACTCCCGCTTCTTGTATCAAAACATGCTACGAATTGTGCTATCATTTTGTCGTCTCGTGCAGTTTATGTGTACGTACATAAACACAGCTTGGCAAATTTACATTAAGTTGGCCAAATTATCTTGTAATTTCGAACATCTCCTAAACCCATAATGTCGACGAACGGCCTGGACCGACAAAAGCACCTGCGGATGGGCCCAAACGGCGGAGATGCTACCTATCTCAGATAAAGTTAAACTTCTGGACATGCTAAGGGAAGGTAAAAGCTATGCAGCCGTTGCTCGCCATTACGGAATCAATGAATCTTCCGTTCGTTACATAAAGAAGGAGGAAAAAAACATAAGGACGACAGCAGCAGTCAATTTTAATACGAATGCAAAAAGGGTTGTAACTGTCCGCAACAAGACCATGGTACGGATGGAGACGGCATTAGCTCTGTGGACTAATGACTGCAGGAAAAAAAACATAACCCTGGATACAAACGTTATCTGCACAAAAGCGAGAATGCTGTATGAAAACTTTGCTGTCAGTGACGGGGAAGAGGGAGAGGATGCCGGGCCCTCAGCAAGTGCTGCTGACACAGTGGGAGAGGATGCCAGGCCCCCAGCAAGTGCTGCTGACAAAGTGCCAAGCGCATTTAATGCAAGCAAGGGCTGGTTTGAAAAGTTTAAGAAACGCTTTGGACTTAAAAATGTTTGTCTGCACGGTGAGATGGCGTCTGCGGATACCGCTGAGGCAGAAGCCTTCGTGAACAATAAATTCAAGGCGATCATTGAGGAGGGGGGATATAAGCCCGAACAAGTTTTTAACATGGATGAGACTGCCTTATTTTGGAAACGAATGCCCTCCCGCACCTTCATCATGCAGGAAGAAGCCAAAGCCCCAGGATTTAAAGTTCACAAAGACCGTTTGACCCTGGCTATGTGCGGAAATGCCGCAGGTTTCATGATTAAACCGGGGCTGATTTACAGGTCTAAAAATCCCAGGGCGCTGAAAAACAAAAATAAGGATGATTTGCCTGTTTACTGGATGTACAATGCAAAGGCTTGGATGACAAAAGCGCTCAATCTGGATTGGTTCAAAAACTGTTTCATCCCGGAGGTCAAGTGTTATTTGAGAGGAAAGGGACTGGACTTTAAAGTGCTTCTGCTCCTTGACAACGCCGGAGGTCACGGTAATGATTTGGCATATGATGGTGTGCAAATCGAATTTCTGCCGCCAAACACTACATCCCTGATTCAGCCCATGGACCAAGGAGTCATCCGTGCTTTCAAGGCTCTCTATACGCGCAACACCCTGCAACATCTTGTTGACGCTATGGACTCGGATCAAGATTTCTCACTGAAGGACTACTGGCGTGGATACACCATCGCATCGTGTCTCCAAAACATTCAGAGGGCCATTCAGGAAATGAAAACGGAAACTCTGAAGGCCTGCTGGAAAAAACTATGGCCAGAGGCAGTGCAAAACGCAACCGGAGGCTCGCTTGACGAGGTCCACCACTCTGCCGTAGAAACAGCTGTGAATCTGGCTAAACAGATTGGAGGAGACGGCTTTAATGACATGAGTCCGGATGACATAAACGCCCTGATTGATGGAGACGCACAGCCGCTGACCGATGCAGAGCTGGCAGAAATGACAAAGCCACAAAGCGACGATGAAAGAGAAGAGGGAGAAGAGGACACGAGAGATGAGGAGGAAGGACTAACGCTTGGTCGCTTAGCAACCATGGTGCGAATGGCCACTGAACTTAAGCGAGTAGCGACAGGAATGGGACCCTTTGATGAGCCGTTCATTACAGTCTCCCAACGTAATCGATGGTGGCATGTCGGTGTACAAGGATCTTTTTGCAAAGAAGAAAAAGAGCGACAACAGCTGCCTATCACTATGTTCTTCTCCCGAACAAACACACCTGCACCGCGGGCTTCAGAAGAAGAGAACACTGCAGAGCGCAGTCAGGATGCAGCGGCCCAGTCTGAAGAGCAGTGAAATGGCCTACACGTGAGTCACTGTATTGTTATACATGTAATAGTTTGCTAATTGTAAAAAAAAAGTTTTATATTTCGCGGATTTCACTTATCGCGGGTCATTTTCGGAACGTAACCCCCGCGATAAACGAGGGATTACTGTATAGCCAATTCAGTTGCAGTAATTCCGTTAAAGATTTTTCAGTAATTCTGTTAACGATTTGTTAGTTAGCATTGGCTCGTGAAACTACCTCTAACTTTCTTCATACTGAGCACAGAGACATACAAATGGTATCCACAAGTTCATCTGACCCTGGGGAAGTAGATAAAGGGCCTAATTGCCAAAATCCTGAATTATCCCTTTAAAGATATGTCGGTTTTTGGTAACGGAATTACAAGGCACAAGGCAATGTTTCTTAAACTTACAGAAGGAAAATCCTTTCTCTAAAACTAAATAAGTATTGATATTAGTTGGCAGGGATCTTTACTTCAACATTGTGTTTTGATGTATTTCTAATACCTTCTGTTACATTGTTTTCTAAGACTGCTTTTCCATCAGTTTGACCAGAAATCAAAGCCATTACTTATGCCTAATTTTTAAGATGGGGAAATTACAAAAAAATGTATCTAAGCTTAGCTTTCATTTGACACCCAATTTGATTTGTTCCTATGAACTTCACGTTAGTGCTCATGCACCCTTTTTACATGGAAATGACCTTTAATGAAGTGTGTCACTGAATTGCTTACACCAGTCGTATGAGCTATCTTTTCACTGTATACAGTGTAAACCTGCCATTTGTTTACTAGTAAATCACATTACTAGCCTTGTCCCAGATTTCTTTATGCTATCATGTCAGCTAACATGTTTGGTATGACAATGAGTGATAAGGATTTGACATGATATCACAAACAGATTTGGGACCAGCCTAGCGCAGCACTAGTATGAATGATGATGGTATGATGATGAGCCTAGTGGGGCGAATAAGGTCTCACTCTTTCCAATCCATTCCCTTGCCCTTCTGGTCCTTGGCAGGCTCTTAACCGGGGTTTAGCAGGCTTTAAAGAGGATGCAGTTGAGATGCTAGCCAGCTACGGGCTGGCTTATTCGCTAATGAAGTTCTTCACTGGGCCCATGAGTGACTTCAAGAACGTGGGCCTGGTGTTTGTCAACAGCAAGAGGGACCGGGGAAAGGCTGTGCTGTGTATGGCGGTAGCAGGCACAATAGCATTCATCCTTCATGTTCTCATAGGTGAGGCTTTAACTGTGGTTTTGTCCCAAATGATGACATTTAATAGTAACTAACTACCCATATTTCTTATTAATTCCAAGTTATTATTTAAAATCCAATGATATGTGTCGGTTGTAAACTGCTTTTAGGTGAGCTTTAACTTTTAAATGTCTTATGTCATGTTAAACTTTTTAAATCGTTTTAGCTGTGTCATCTCCTCAGGTCTCATAGTATTGTGACTGTCTTCCCTGTCTCCAGCCCATACAGACTTAGGCTACTACATCATCAATAAGCTCCACCATGTGGACGACTCCGTGGGCAACAAGACCAGGAGGGCTTTCCTCTACCTGGCAGCTTTCCCTCTGCTGGATGCCATGGTGAGCGCTGAGTAGAGTATACGGCTTGATTCAAGGCTGCGTCCCAATTGGCACCCTATTCCCTATAGGGCTTTGGTCAAAAGTAGTGCACTATGTAGGGAATAGGGTGTCATTTGGGACGCAAACCAGCTCTTCCATGACCCAATGTATGGTCAGTCAGAGAGCCATAATCATGGCAGAGGGAAGCTTAAAAACACCTGACCTAGAAAAATGATTTGTAATCCTCTGCTCATCATGCTGGGTCTTAAAACGGACACGCCTGTCCCTGTATTTCAACGACTGCATATCTTCTCTTTGCCTGGTCGAAATCAGATTTCAATGTGGGCCTTTGGCTTGCTTTTTTAAACAAGCCAGACAAGAACAATGGGTACTTGGTGTGCTGAAATTCTTGGGTGGAGAAGCATCAATTGTCTCTTTGTTTATTGTTTTGTAGGCTTGGATCCATGCTGGAATCCTCCTTAAGCACAAATACAGTGTCATCGTAGGCTCTGCCTCCATCTCTGATGTCATCGCACAGGTACTCAGCAGATTGCTTCCTTGTTTTTCACTAATCTACAGTGAAGATTGGTCATTGTTGCAAAGACTAATTCAATTGACCTCAAAAGTGGACTTGGCAGTATACCCTGCTCTGATAGTTTGTGACAGTGATGTGGTTGTAAGGGAGTCTCTCTAAGTTTTAATGTCACGTGCAGAAGTACAGTGAAATGCCTTTCTTGCAAGCTCTAAACCCAACAATGCTGTAATCAATATCAATGTAGTACTAAAAATCACATAAGGTAGAATAAAAACACTTGAGAAATACAAATACAAAATAAGAAGAACATGAGAAGTAAGTAAACTATATACAGGGTCAGTTCCAGTACCATATTTACAATGTGCAGCGATACTGGAGTGATAGAAGTAGATATGTATAGGGGTAAGGTGACTAGGCATCAGGATATATGATAAACAGAGTAGCAGCAGCGTATATGATGACTGTATGTACACTACCGTTCAAAAGTTTGGGGTCACTTAGAAATGTCCTTGTTTTCGAAAGAAATGCACTTTTTTTGTCCATTAAAATAACATCAAATTGATCAGAAATACAGTGTAGACATTATTAAGGTTGTAAATGACTATTGTAGCTGGAAACGGCTGATTTTTTTATGGAATATCTACATAGGTGTACAGAGGCCCATTATCAGCAACCATCAGTCCTGTGTTCCAATGGCACGTTGTGTTTGCTAATCCAAGTTAATAATTTTAAAAGGCCAATTGATCATTAGAAAACCATTTTGCAATTATGTTAGCACAGCTGAAAACTGTTGTGCTGATTAAAGAAGCAATTAAACTGGCCTTCTTGAGACTAGTTGAGTATCTGGAGCATCAGCAATTGTGGGTTCGATTACAGGCTCAAAATGGCCAGAAACAAATAACTTTCTTCTGAAACTTGTCAGTCTATTCTTGTTCTGAGAAATTAAGGCTATTCCATGTGAGAAATTGCCAAGAAACTAAAGATCTTGTACAACGCTGTGTACTACTCCCTTCACAGAACAGCACAAACTGGCTCTAACCAGAATTGAAAGAGGAGTGGGAGACCCCGGTGCACAACTGAGCAAGAGGACAAAAACATTAGTGTCTAGTTTGAGAAACAGACGCCTCACAGGTCCTCAACTGGCAGCTTCATTAAATAGTACCTGCAAAACACCAGTCTCAACGTCAAAAGTAAAGAGGCGACTCCAGGATGCTGACCTAGGCAGAGTTGCAAAAAAAAGCCATATCTCAGACTGGCCAACAGAACACAGACACTGGACTTTTTCTTTGCAACTCTGCCTAGAAGGTCAGCATCCCGGAGTCGCCTCTTCACTGTTGACGGTGTTTTGCGGGTACTATTTAATGAAGCTGCCAGTTGAGGACATGTGAGGCGTCTGTTTCTCAAACTAGACACTCTAATGTATTTGTCCTCTTGCTCAGTTGTGCACCGGGGCCTCCCACACCTCTTTCTATTCTGGTTAGAGCCAGTTTGCGCTGTTCTGTGAAGGGAGTAGTACACAGCGTTGTAGGAGATCTTTAGTTTCTTGGCAATTTCTCGCATGGAATAGCCTTCATTTCTCAGAACAAGAATAGACTGAAGAGTTTCAGAAGAAAGTTATTTGTTTCTGGCCATTTTGAGCCTGTAATCGAACCCACAATTGCTGATGCTCCAGATACTCAACTAGTCTCAAGAAGGCCAGTTTAATTGCTTCTTTAATCAGCACAACAGTTTTCAGCTGTGCTAAAATAATTGCAAAAGGGTTTTCTAATGATCAATTGGCCTTTTAAAATGATAAACTTGGATTAGCAAACACAACGTGCCATTGGAACACAGGACTGATGGTTGCTGATAATGGGCCTCTGTACGCCAATGTAGATATTCCATTAAAAATCTGCCATTTACAACATTAATAATGTCTACACTGTATTTCTGATCAATTTGATGTTATTTTAATGGACAAAAAAAGTGCTTTTCTTTCGAAAACAAGGACATTTCTAAGTGACCCCAAACTTTTGAACGGTAGTGTACGTGCGTGTGTGTAGAGTCAGTAACAAACGTGTGTGCATGTTATGTGTGTGAGCAAATGAAGTGAGTGTGTGTGTTGGGAGTTTCAGTGAGTGTGTTGAGTTCTGACTGTGGTCTCCCTCCTCTCCGTGGCAGATTGTGTTTGTGTCCATCCTGCTGCACAGTAACCTGCCGTGTGTGGAGCCCCTGCTTATCCCCATCCTCTCCCTGTATATGGGAGCCCTGGTGCGCTTCACCATCGTGGGCATAGGCTACTACTACAACATCCACGACAAGATCCCCGACTCCAGTGGACTTGACGTGGGGGTACGCCGCTTCCTTAGTCGCCCTACTGGGACCTTTTAAATGTAATAGATGGAGTTCATCATGTAGTGTATCTTTACTGGCGCATCAATTAATCTTGGTCTTCTAAAACTGTCTTTGTTGCAGTCTACCTGTGTGATAGTAGCTTATGTCCCAAAAGGAACCAGGACAATTAGGTCTAGTAATCAATACTACTGCCCTCACATGAGGACTTAGCGCTACAACTACAAAGCACCCAGATTGAACATACCCTTGTTTTCCCCTCTCATTGCTTTTAACTTCACTTTGCAGGGAGATGCCACCATCAGGAAGATGTTGAGTTTCTGGTGGCCTCTGGCCCTCATCCTGGCTACCCAGCGGATCAGCAGGCCCATCGTCAACCTCTTTGTGTCCCGGGACCTCAAGGGGAGCAGCGCAGCTACTGAGGTGAGTTTGTAGCCTACTCAGTCCACTCCCCAATAATACCCCATTTAGCTCAGTCCCACTCACTGTTATTCGGCAGCTGCCAAACGCAATGGCCTTTACCAGAAGTAGTCAAAATTCTAATCTAATGTTTTGTTGTCTGAAGAGAGAGGCTGCTGGCTCATGGGAGGAGGAATTTCTCATAAAATCCTCTGTGGGGGGACCTTTTGACTGCCAGTGTTCATTACCATGCTTGTACTGTAACAATAAAGTGACTTCATACAGCCGAACTCTTAGCATCAGTTCGGCCTGTAGTACAGGCTTTGCAGTTATCCACTTGCTAGGTTGATTCCCTTCATGATATCACAGCTGGCATTTGAACAATCTCTGGAGCGTTCGTGCATTGAGACCTAACCAGAGGCAAAACAATAAGCTGTTTACCAGAATGAACTGGAAATAATCAACAGCACAGTGGCTGCCAGTGGTGTTCGCGTGATTCAACCTGAAACTCAGAGGATGAGCTCACACTGACAGTGACTGAAAACATTCCTAAACGTCTCTACTGTGTCTGTGCAAAGACTGTCACTGCCTGTTTTTGTCGGTTACACACAATGCTGACAAGCCCAAGGCGCTTGTCCTGGTATAAACATGGGAAAATCCACATGCGATTACATATTCATAATTGTCTTTGCTGACAGGTGTTGGCTAGTCAGTCATGTTTTAACATCTTGGCTACATTACTGTAAGCTGTCCAAAAAGGAAATTAAATGGCATGTGAATCCTAATGACTCTCTTTGCTTGGCCAGGCAGTGGCTGTGCTCACCGCCACCTACCCTGTGGGTCACATGCCCTATGGCTGGCTGACTGAACTGAGGGCCGTCTATCCCGCTTTTGACAAGGTAAACCAAGGCCAGTGTAAGAATAGCCTCTTGTTGCAGATTAAACATATTAAATATCTTCGGGTACTGAGTACAGATGGCTTGTATTAATGCATTTTATTTCGCACTAATGATAATGTTCTCTTCTCCAACAGACCAATCCCAGCAATAAGCTCATATCCGGCACACCGGTCACAAAGACTCATATCAAAAAGTTTACAGCCTGTTGTTTGGTGCTATCGCTCACGGTAAGAAGGATGTATGGCTCTTTTTTTTATTCCAATACTGTATTTTGATAAGTCACAGAATCAAATACTATTGGGATGTATACTAACTCTATAGAAAAAATGAGAATCCAGAGTGTAGAATTCAGACCCAAAATCCAGACGATCTTAGCTCTTGTGTTCTGTTTGTCAGTTATGGCACAAAGTGTGCCACAGATGGGAGAAAAACTGGTTGAGACTCATGCAAGCAGAGTAGAACATCCTTTCAGTGTTCTGCATGGGCATGCTTGGCGTTTGTTCCTCTGTCAATGCTTCTTACATTATTATCTAGTCAGATGGGTATCCTACTTAATCATTTCCTCAACTATAGCCAACTTTTTTTTTTGTCCTTGCTGAAAACGAGGAAGTAAGGCAAAGATGACACCTGACAGATAAACACAGTGCCATAGATAAATACATATTTAGGCTCTGGATAAGCCCTGGAGCTTGAAGCGCTAAGCCACCAAACGAGCAGGTATAGAACCAGCAATGCAGAATAAGTGGTTTCAATACCTGTATGTTTGGACAGAATGTACAGTATTTCGACTAGCAGTGTTTTGTTTTTTTGGTTCTATATCTGACTTCAGGTGTCAGGTTGCGGTGTGTGTCAGAGCGAGAGAGAGAGGCACACCAGGTTGGTGTGCTGTTGTTCCCCCTAACACTTCTTCTCCTGGTTAAAAGGGCATGATAAAATTGTGTCATTCCCATAAAAATATGTATTTCACATAACATATCAGTTTACATATGCATGTGTATTTCAGAGAAAAGTAATGAAAGCTGACTTCTATTTTTCATCCAGCTCTACATGTATTAATAATAGAACAGAGCACAACAAGAAGTTGTTATTGTAAATGCACTGTTGAGAAAGGTATAGTTCCGCCCTGTCATAAATCGTCAGTTTTTTCACGGTTTCGGTGTCAGGATGTGTTAAATGCAGGGTAGAAATGGGAACAGAAAAAACAAGACTGGTTTGATGGGGGAGAAAAAATGTGTCCCTGATGACTTGGATGTGAAAAACAGGAAGTTGGTGGAAAAGGTTAGGCCTTGGAGCCACGGAGAGGAGTGGCGGTGGCATGCCAACCAGATGTGGAATTTCAGTGTTATAAACAAGTGGGTGTGGGCTCAAGCCTGGCAACCAGGGTTCCATGGTTGCCATGGCACCGTAAGGCAGAGGAAACAGAGATCTCTGTAAATTGTGTACATACACTATATATACAAAAATATGTAGGACACCCCTTCAAATTAGTGGATTCGGCTATTTGAGCCACACCCGTTGCTGACAGGTGTATAAAATTGAGCACATCGCCATGCAATCTCCATAGACAAACATTGGCAGTAGAATGGCCTTACTGAAGAGCTCAGTGACTTTCAACGTGGCACCGTTATTAGATGCCACCTTACCTACAAGTCAGTTCGTCAAATTTCCGCCCTGCTAGAGCTGCCCCGGTCAACTGTAAGTGATGTTATTGTGAAGTGGAAACGTCTAGGAGCAAGAACTGCTCAGCGCGAAGTGGTAGGCCACACAAGCTCATAGAACGGGACCACCGAGTGCTGAAAATCTGCTGTCCTCGGTTGCAACACTTACTACCGAGTTCCAAACTGCCTCTGGAAGCAATGTCAGCGCAATAACTGTTCGTTGGGAGCTTCATGAAATGGGATTCCATGGTCGAGCAGCCGCACACAAGCCTAAGATCACCATGCGCAATGCCAAGCGTTGGCTGTAGTGGTGTAAAGCTCGCTGCAGTGCATGCCAGTGATGAATCACGCTTCACCATCTGGCAGTCCGACGGCCGAATCTGAGTTTGGCGGATGCCAGGAGAACGCTACCTGCCCGACTGCATTGTGCCAACTGTAAAGTTTTGTGGAGGAGGAATAATGGTTTGGGGCTGTTTTCCATGGTTCAGGCTCCTTAGTTCCAGTGAAGGGAAATCTTAACGCTACAGCATACAATGACAACAGTTTGTGACAACAGTTTGGGGAAGGCCCTTTCCTGTTTCAGCATGACAATGCCCCCGTGCACAAAGTGAGGTCCATACATAAATGTTTTGTCGAGATCGGTGTGGAAGAACTTGACTGGCCTGCACAGAGCCCTGACCTCAACCCCATTGAACACCTTTGGGATGAATTGGAACGCCGACTGCGAGCCAGGCCTAATCGCCCAACATCGGTGCCCGACCTCACTAATGGTCGTGGCTAAATGGAAGCAAGACCCTGCAGCAATGTTCCAACATCTAGTGGAAAGCCTTCCCAGAAGAGTGGAGGCTGTTATAGCACCAAAGGGGGGACTGACTCCATATTAATGCCCATGATTTTGGAATGAGATGTTCGACGAGCAGGTGTCAACTTACTTTTGGTCATGTAGTGCATTTTAGATTTTTTATCAGCTTTTTTGTTTTTGATAAGTCATTGAGTTGTTGATTTTATATACAGTGAGGGAAAAAAGTATTTGATCCCCTGCTGATTTTGTACATTTGCCCACTGACAAAGAAATGATCAGTCTATACTTTTAATGGTAGGTTTATTTGAACAGTGAGAGACAGAATACCAACAAAAAAAAACTGAACAATGCATGTGAAAAATGTTATACATTTATTTGCATTTTAATGAGGGAAATAAGTATTTGACCCCCTCTCAATCAGAAAGATTTCTGGCTCCCAGGTGTCTTTTATACGGGTAACGAGCTGAGATTAGGAGCACACTCTTAAAGGGAGTGCTCCTAATCTCAGCTTGTTACCTGTATAAAAGACCTGTCCACAGAAGCAATCAATCAATCAGATTCAAAACTCTCCACCATGGCCAAGACCAAAGAGCTCTCCAAGGATGTCAGGGACAAGCTTGTAGACCTACACAAGGCTGGAATGGGCTACAAGACCATCGCCAAGCAGCTTGGTGAGAAGTTGACAACAGTTGGTGTGATTATTCGCAAATGGAAAAAACACAAAAGTACTGTCAATCTCCCTCGTCCTGGGGCTCCATGCAAGATCTCACCTCGTGGAGTTACAATGATCATGAGAACGGTGAGGAATCAGCCCAGAACTACACGGGAGGATCTTGTCAATGACCTCAAGGCAGCTGGGACCATAGTCACCAAGAAAACAATTGGTAACACACTACGCCGTGAAGGACTGAAATCCTGCAGCGCCCGCAAGGTCCCCCTGCTCAAGAAAGCACATATACAGGGCCGTCTGAAGTTTGCCAATGAACGTCTGAATGATTCATAGGAGAACTGGGTGAAAGTGTTGTGGTCAGATGAGACCAAAATTGAGCTCTTTGGCATCAACTCAACTCGCCGTGTTTGGAGGAGGAGGAATGCTGCCTATGACCCCAAGAACACCATCCCCACCGTCAAACATGGAGGTGGAAACATTATGCTTTGAGGGTGTTTTTCTGCTAAGGGGACAGGACAACTTCACCGCATCAAAGGGACGATGGACGGGGCCATGTACCGTCAAATCTTGGGTGAGAACCTCCTTCCCTCAGCCAGGGCATTGAAAATGGGTTGTGGATGGGTATTCGAGCATGACAATGATCCAAAACACACGGCCAAGGCAACAAAGGAGTGGCTCAAGAAGAAGCACATTAAGGTCCTGGAGTGGCCTAGCCAGTCTCCAGACCTTAATCCCATAGAAAATATGTGGAGGGAGCTGAAGGTTTGAGTTGCCAAACGTCAGCCTCGAAACCTTAATGACTTGGAGAAGATCTGCAAAGAGGAGTGGGACAAAATCCCTCCTGAGATGTGTGCAAACCTGGTGGCCAACTACAAGAAACGTCTGACCTCTGTGATTGTCAACAAGGGTTTTGCCACCAAGTACTAAGTCATGTTTTGCAGAGGGGTCAAATACTTATTTCCCTCATTAAAATGCTAATCAATGTATAACATTTTTGACATGCTTTTTTTCTGGATTTTCTTGTTGTTATTCTGTCTCTCACTGTTCAAATAAACCTACCATTAAAATTATAGACTGATCATTTCTTTGTCAGTGGGCAAATGTACAAAATCAGCAGGGGATCAAATACTTTTTTTTCCCTCACTGTATCTGGTAGTTTTTACCCAAAGAGTTGCAGGACTGATGGCAGGTTGACTTGTCTGGTGGTTAACGTTAATGTTTTGCATTTAAAAGACGCATTTCGGCACGGCTGCTTTTTAATCAATGAGACCTGACGGCATTATGAAAATGGCAGAGAGCCTGTACAGTCGTGGTCAAAAGTTTTGAGAATGACACAAATACTAATTTTCACAAAGTCTGCTGTCTCAGTTTTGATGATGGCAATTTGCATATACTCCAGAATGTCATGAAGTGATCAGATGAATTGCAATTAATTGCAAAGTTCCTCTTTGCCATGAAAATGAACTTAATCCCCCAAAAACATTTCTACTGTATTTCAGCCCTGCCACAAAAGGACCAGCTGCCATCATGTCAGTGATTCTCTCGTTAACACAGGTGAGAGTGTTGACGAGGACAAGGCTGGAGATCACTCTGTCATGCTGATTGAGTTAGAATAACAGACTGGAAGCTTTAAAAGGAGGGTGGTGCTTGACATCATTGTTCTTCCTCTGTTAACCATGGTTACCTGCAAGGAAACACGTGCCGTCATCATTGCTTTGCACAAAAAGGGCTTCACAGGCAAGGATATTGCTGCTAGTAAGATTGCACCTAAATCAACCATTTATCGGATCATCAAGAACTTCAAGGAGAGCGGTTCAATTGTTGTGAAGAAGGCGTCAGGGCGCCCAAGAAAGTCCAGCAAGCGCCAGGACCGTCTCCTAAAGTTGATTCAGCTGCGGGATCGGGGCACCACAAGTGCAGAGCTTGCTCAGAAATGGCAGCAGGTAGGTGTGAGTGCATCTGCACGCACAGTGAGGCGAAGACTTTTGGAGGATGGCCTGGTGTCAAGAAGGGCAGCAAAGAAGCCACTTCTCTCCAGGAAAAACATCAGGGATGGACTAATATTCTGCAAAAGGTACAGGGATTGGACTGCTGAGGACTGGGGTAAAGTCATTTTCTCTGATGAATCCCCTTTCCGATTGTTTGGGGCATCCGGAAAACAACCTTGTCTGGAGAAGACAAGGTGAGCGCTACCATCAGTCCTGTGTCATGCCAACAGTAAAGCATCCTGAGACCATTCATGTGTGGGGTTGCTTCTCAGCCAAGAGAGTGGGCTCACTCACAATTTTGCCCAAGAACACAGCCACGAATAAAGAATGGTACTAACACA